CATTTGCTGAAATATTAAAAAAAAGAAAGAAAAAGAAATTCACATCGTATGAAAACAGAGTTGGGGACTGCATGCCTTACCAGTTACAGATAGCTACATGTATTATACCAGAATGAAATTATACTTACAACCAGTGTATGGGTCACGGAATGATGAATCAAGTGCAACGCCACCTTGGCCAGAATTTTGGAGTATAAACTCTACAATCTGTTGATGATAGGCAAGAGGAAGATTCTCCTTGAGAAGCCACTTGTCAGCAGTCGAATATGGATTATCTGGAAACATCTCAACCACTTATCTCAGCATGCCTAATACATTTTCTGTACGCAAATAATTAAGTCACACATTCTACAACTGTTCTTCTAAAAACAACAAAGAAATACACTCAGTTAAGCATTTTTTCCCAAGATATTCTCTCCAAGAACCAAAATTAAGGAATAAAAGAACTCAGAGAAAACAAGGCCATCCACAACCATTAAAAGGCAGAAAAGTAGGCGGAGAAATTTACCTGATAGATTGTATGGCAACTTGCGAATAGGCTCTCCATCACCAATATCAACATCAAACACTGATAACAAGATTATATAACAATCAAGATAAAAAGTAAGGTGAATTTCAAAGGAGTAAGGAAAATGAGGCTCAGAGCAGCTGATAACTTGATGCTGACCATAATCATATTCAATTCCATCAAGAACAGGTCGCTTCATGCCATCATCTGGTCCATCAACAACTTCTCCAATCTGAAAATGGATGAGAGATAACAAAACATGAGCAATACAGCAATAAAAAGAAATAAATTTCCAGAAGTAACAAGAGAAAAGAAGCACAATCTGTCAACCACTGAGTAGTCCTTGTCATTGCAACGACATCAAATCCATTCCTTCATGATACATACAAAATTGGAGAAGCTAAAGCCACCAAATAGTTTTAATTCTCCTTGGAGAAGATATATGATTATGACCATATGTGGTTGCTTAAAACCCACAGTACTTAACAACTCAATTGCTTCTAGAAACTTCATTTCCTTGTGTTTGTTCTCATCTTTGAAAGATGACAACACCTTAAAACACTATGGTCATTCATTCCTTAATCACATAATGGAAGGGACATCAAATCCATGAACTTCATGATACATACATAATTGGAGAAGCTAAAGCCACCAGTTAGTTTTAATTCTCCTTGGAGAAGATACATGTTTACGACCATTTGTGGTTGCTTAAAACCCACATAACTTAACAACTCAACTGCTTCTAGAAACTTCATTTCCTAGTGTTTGTTCTGATCCTCGAAGGATGAAAACACCTTAAAGCACTAAGGTCATTCATTCCTTCATCACATAATGGAAGGGATTGTTCAATTTGTCAGTCAATGACCACCATATGAATTGCATCTGTCTAAATCAATGTCATGCATGGAAATATCATGTGAAAAAAAAAGAGATAAACAAAGGGGGCTGAACACATAAATTGAAGCAAAGGATGTTTATTTGTCAAAGAATAAATTATTTTATATAGCACGGGAAGAAACAAGAAAAGAAAATTCTTCATAGTATGAATAAGCATGAATTCTTTTCAAATTGAGAATGCACAGCATCAACTCAATTTAGCTTGGGTAGAATGTATATGGACAACGCTTTCTGAGCAAAAAGGAACATGAACAGCATAGACATAAATATGCATTGAATGATAAAATGAGCATGAAGAACTTGCTGGAAAAACAGTAAGATGAAACTAATTGTTACTTTATCCCACTTCTGTTCCCTCAAATTCCAAGCATATGCTACACCGTTGTCCCCTTCTCTGATGATTTTGGTCTGCCCATCATTGGTTCCTGATCATAAGATAATTACAATACATTACTTAATTAGCAATTCCAACAGAAATTAGGCAACATTTCCACCATAACTCGCACAAAATACGCTGAATTTAATATAACTAGGTAGAAACACAGTCAGGTACCACCATAATTTTATTTTCTTGTCACTGATGCAATTATTCAGACACTGGTATTGACTTATATATTGATTGATACAAGTAAAGGCCATTGCTCCGCAATTTTAAGTCCAGTGCAATTGTCTGCTATTCACAATTGATTTTCACGATAACTAGCCATAGCTTCATCAAAAAATAGAATTTCCAAGATAATTAAGATAAATGTTTCTGGAGGGTCTATTTGAAGCCACACCTGGAATCTGTAAAGCCTCAAGGCCTGGTAAATCTTCCAATTTCAATCCCCCAACCCTCTTCCTGACAGAAACAATTTGCAATATGAATCAGCATTGACAAGCATTATAAAGAAACCAACATTAGCAGGATCCAGAAGGAGAATCAACTTCCACACATCATAAAACTATGAAAAGAAGTGCTGGAATACATATATTTCAAGAATTAATGAGCTCGGAAATGCTATTAATAATGAAACAGACTGAGATTTGCTAGAAGTAGACATAATTTTTCTTAGTCCTTTTGGTGTTTCACAGTTAACAAATTCAAACTTAGGCTGTAAGTTAGTAGATATATCATGAAATAGACTGAGAATTGCTAGAAGTAGATATATTTTTTCTTAGTTTTTTGGAGTTTCACAGTTAAAAAAAATTCAACTTTGCTAGAAGTGGATTCATTTTTTTCTTAGTCTTTTTGGTGCTTCACAGTTAACAAACTCAAACTTAGGCTGTAAGTTAGTAGATATATCATTGGGGTTCACAGCTCACAATTACCCATTAAGTAACTAACATACCGTACAAACAACAACAGAAACTCATTAAACATTGATCCAAGACATTATACAAGTCCACATTTTAACAATAGAAAGTGCAGATGTATCACTTGCTGGCAAATAATGCATGAATATACCTGCCTAATTTGTATTGAGAAAGTTGGGAAACATATGAGTCAAGATCTACTGGGTCTGCAATCCTCTCCTGATATGAGGTCCAAATACGTACTACTCCATCTGAGCATGCTGTCACAATATCACCATTTTCCAAGAATTTGACATCCCACACACAACCAGGATGCTCTATGCTCTGAACACAGACTCCATCTGCAACATGAAAATGATTTCACAAGTAAATAACATTTCAAAGACATGCAATTCGGTTGCAATGCCCAAATCCTCAGCATCTGAGATTACATGAGTAGAAGAACAACCAATAGAAGCAGTCACATCTAGAAGAACAACCAATAGAAGCAGTCACCTTTCCAAATCTTTGCTGAACAATCTTCACCACCACTAACAATTAGTCCAGACATATGTGAATCAACTGAATAGACAATTGAAGCATGGCCGACCATCTCCATCAATACTTGGCCAGTTAAAGCCCATAATCTGATGGAGCTGTTGCAATGAAAATACTATATCAGTCAACGAACCATTCATGCAAGACAATGAGGGTTGTTCTTTAAAAATGAATAATGAAGGAAGTCCAGGGAATCTTTATTTATAAACTGCAATAACTTTGGCGCTATCCATCATCTACTAAGCCAAACATAAAGCAGAACCATTGCATTATAAAACAGAAATAAATGAAACTGACTGCTCACCCATCATGTGATGCAGAAAGAATACCCGCTCCATGCATCCTTGCTAAGCCTCTTACTGTATCTACGGAGTTCACAAGTACAAGCCAAATTAAGCCTAAATTAGTATACTGACCAATAAGCCATCTTATTTCTTGGTACAGAGAACAGATATTGAACAAAGTGGGGCTGCAAAATTCTCCAAAACCATTTCATTATTTAAAGGTAAAAATAAACGTACAACAGATGAGCAACAAGGCATGTGGGAAAGAAGAGCAGGGGGGAAACCCAACCTGAGTGCCCTGAAAAAGTGTGTAAACATGTCCTCCCTTTCCAAAGTTTTAAAGTTGTGTCAGTTGAACCTACATTGTCATGGAAAGAAGAGTCAAGTTGTTGGTTTAGTGCTTGGCACACAAAAACCAAACCATTGGATCCATGTATTTGAATATGAAATAGTGAACAATTAAGAGTTCGAATTGATAATGGAAAGATTAAGAAAAACACTTCCAACACATAGATACAGGTCAGCACAGATCATTAAACTAAAATTTTAATCCTGAATGAAGAGGTGAGGGACCCCGAGCAAATGCGTCTTCTAAACCAGCACTTCAATAGATCCACAATTAATTTTTCATCAATTTTCCAAATGCAGCACTCATATTTTCACTCAAGGTAATGTAACTAAGATTCCACGAAAAAATAGGCAGAAAATATACCTGTAACAAGCTCGCCGGACGGCAGCTTAATAATCGCTTGGATCGCAGACTTATGAGCCTCCCAAGACTCAACAACTTTACCTTTCTTCCATCTCCTCAAAGTACTACAACAGCAAAAGGAAATCCATAATGATCACAAAAAAAGAAAAGGCCAAAATTTAGATCATCTATCAAGGCGAGAACACACAAGATAATAAGCCTACCAATCAACGGAGGAAGAAACAATTTCTTCATCATCCAAAACAACACCAGTAACTTGCAATTGATGACCACTCAAGCTATGGACTTTCTCTCCATTACTCAAATTCCAAACAAAAACCATCGTATCCATTCCACCAGACACGATCGCGCCTTCTGAGAACACTTCATTCGGCGGAATCCATGCCAATGGTCCCACAAAACTCGAATGCCCTAGCAGAGTTTTTGATAATTCAAACTTACGTTTGTCAGTTGGGTCGGGCACCCAGTACCTCACCGTTTTGTCCCTCGACGACGTCGCTATTCCCGCATTTCCGCAAACACAAATCCCGCGTGCCTGCGAGTGATTATATAAGTTAAACGGACTTGATTTTAATTAAAGATATATATATATAGAGAGAGAGAGGGGGGGGGGGTTTGCTACGTCGTCTTCGTGGCCGCGAAGCTCGTGGCTTAATTGATAAATTTTTAAGTCGATTTCCATGTCCATGACTTTGAGAGAGTTTTTAGAGAGCGGAGGGTTTTATAGTTTAGAAGTAGAGGGAGAAGCAATTTGCCGTGTTGGACGATGAAGGGATCATGTCTTCATAAGCTTCCTGACTTCCGTTGGAAGTCAGCAGAAAGTGAATTCTGGTTTGGGTTCGTTGTGTTTTGATTTTTTAAGTCCTTAAAGTTTTAATTTATTTCTACTTTGGTCCCTAAACTTCTTCGTTATTTCTTGCTTTTAATGGCAAGGCATTTTTAAAATAGATTTCACGCTCCAAAACTTAAGTCGTTTCCTTGAGTTTTAAATATTTATGACCCCTTGATTATTATCTTAAGAATATTTTAAAATATTTAATTAATATAACATAGGAGGCAACTAAAATTTGATCGTGTTTATTTATTATGTTTTCTGATGCTTTGGATTTTATACACCAATAAATTTTTTTTTGTTATGTCCATATATTTGTATTTAATTAAATTATTTATATATTATTGTGTATCTTTTTATCACATTGCTGGTGCAGTAGGTAATGACATTATTATTATAAAAAAAATTAAATAGTTAGGGGAAATTATTGGAGATCTAGAAAGTTTTTATTATGGATTATAATATTAATTTTATTTTTAATATCAATTTTTTAAGAGTAGATAAATGTTTCTTTAAGTGTCTTTTACAAGAGTATTTATTTTTTTAATTTTAAAATATAGTCCTTTAGCATGTAAAAGAAAAAAAACATTGTTTCTAGAGGTATTTTAATATTTTTATATAGATATTTTATATAATAAAGAGAACTTGTGTTGTTCAAAATTTCAGCACTCCTAATTTAAGAGAACACAGTGTTGTTCAAAATTTCAGCACTCCTAATAATAATGATATCATAACTTGGCATGTTAAATTATAAAATATTAGGTAAAATCAATTACATAGAGTGTTAAGAATTGGTCTTTTAGAATCACTTACCAAAGAAAAATTGTTCATTTGTAAGTATTATTTTGCTGGAAAAGTAACTAGATTATCATTTAACAAAGCTAAAAGAACAAGTAGTCCATTATAGCTTATTTATTCAAACATTTATGACTTAATGAATATGAGGGCATGACATGGTGTAAATTATTTTATCATATTTATAGATGATTTTACATGATTTGATCATGTTTATTTAATCTCACACAAATTTGAAGTATTGAATTGCTTCATTCGATACATCAATTTATTTAATCTCACACAAATTTGAAGCATTGAATTGCTTCATTCGATACATCAATTTGGTAAAGAATAAACTAAGTGAAAAATAAAAACTTCAAAAACCAATCAAGGACATGAATATCTATCTAAACAATTTAATTTTTTTTTTGTGATGAAAAGGATATAACTCAATAGCTAATTATTCTTTATACTATAACAAAATGGTATAGTAAAAATGAGGAATAAGACCCTATTTAACATGGTTAGGTCAATGATGTTGTATACTAACTTATCAATTTCTTTTTGGAGAAATGCATTGTTGATTGCTAAAAAACCTAATTGAGGTTATTTGCATCCATGGGGATGTGCAGCTTATGTTCACAATAATTCTCATAAATATGGGAAACTTAGTTCTAGGGAGAATAAGTGTATATTTATAAGATATTCTAAACATTCTAAAGGATTTGTATTTATTGGTAAAAAAACTGATGGAAGAATGACAGAGATTTAACCACGTGAAGTTGTATTATTAGAAAATGATTTTTCAACGACAAGAGAGGTTAATAAAGATTTTCAATTATGTAAATAAAAAATCTAAATTATGGCCCAACAAGCCATTCTATAGAAGATTTAAAGGAAACTCTGAATCCTCTTGGAAATAGTGAGAGTGACATTTTGTTTATTTCTACTCTCATAGAGTAAGATCATGAGCAATCTCAACCTTGTAGAAGCATTTGTTAATCAATTCCTCGTCATTGATTTGAGATAAATGGAGGAGCGTTTATAATTGCTCCACAAGATGATGAAGAGCCTAAAACATTCAATCATGCTCTGTTTGGTCCTAAAACAAGAGAATGAATTAAAGTTATGGAAGAAAAAATGAAGTCAATGAAAACTAATCAAGTCTGGCACTTGGTTGATTTACTATCAGGACGAAAATCCATTGAAAATAAATAGGTTTTTAAAATTAAACATAAGGCAGATGGCTCAATAGAATATTATAAGGCTCGACTAGTAACAAAAGGTTACACTCAAGAAGAGGGAATTAATTATGAAGATACATTTTAACTAGTTATCAAAATTATTTCTATTCGTCTCATTTTAATTATAGTCACACATATAGACCTAGAGTTTTACCAAATAGATGTTGAACTGCATTTCTCAATAGAGAACTAAATGAGGAGCAGAACTAAATTCAACCTTGAAAATTCAAGACTAAAGGATAGGAATGCAAAATTTACAAGCTTAAATAATTCATATATGATCTTAAGCAAGCTTCTAGATAATAGAATGTCAACTTTCATCAAGTTATCCTTAAGGATGGTTTTACAATGATGGAAGAAAACTATTATGTGTATGTAAAATGTTTTAACAATAGTTTTATAATATTATCCTCATATATTGATGACATCTTAATAACTAGAAATAACAAAGAGATGATTGATATTACTAAAAAGATGTTTACAATCAAACTTTAAAATGAAAGACATATGTGAGGCTAGCTATATTCCTAGTGTGAAAATCATAAGAGATCGCGCTAAAAGTTTTTTATGTTTAACTTAAGGGGCTTACATCAAAAGGATGTTAAAGCGCAATCACATGTAAGATAGCAAATCAATGGACACCCCTATTGATAAGAGCTTGAGCTGTGATATATGTCTCAAGAAAAAGAAAAAGAAAGAAAAAAAATATCTAGAGTACCTTGCACTAGTGTCATAAGTAGTGCTTAATAAGCAATGATATGCATAAATCTCTATATATATTATGCCATTGGATTGGTTAGCTGATATCAATCAAACCCTGATTAGAAAGAGTTGATGTTAGTTAACATGATTCTATGATATCTAAAAGAATCTTTGAATTATATACCATGTTACTGAGGAAAAGAACTTATGATTGAATGGTTACTCTAATGTTGATTAAGAAGGAGATGTTGACTAATCCAAATCAACTTCGGGATATGCTTTCTTGCTTAATGATAGTGCAATATTATGGAGGAGCAAGAAACAATCTTGCATAGCCTTATCTATTATAGAGGTCGAGTATGTAACTTGTTTTGCAACAACATAAGATGTTGTTTGGTTAAAGAGTTTCATGTATCATTTAAAAATTGTCAAATCAACATTTAGACCTAGTAACAATTTACTTTGATAACACTGTTGTAGTAGTTGTGGTCAAAGATCCAAAATACTATGGAAAGACTACATACATCAAGATGAGATGTATCACTACATTAGATAAGTAATTACTAAACATGACGTGATCCTAATACATATTCCTACAAATTCTATGGTTGCAGATCCACTCACAAAACCAATAGCAATTGATGCATTTGTTAGATGTGTGAGATCCCTTGACCTATATAAAATGTAATTGGTAATATAACTAGTTTTAACGATCATACAAAGGCTTATAGTAATTGAGTAATGAATAAATATCATTAATAAATCATGTTATTCATTATTTGTTTCATGGAATATATTATAAGTATCATTTAGTATAATTTGTTAAAATATATCGATAGACATAGATTGATTCACTCATATGAGCAATCACCTCTAGTGCTTGTAAGGTGATTGGAGATGGGATTATTTGAGCTTTAATGCTCAATAAATGACTTAGGCATAGTGGAAGCGATTTTAACTTAAAGTAATTATTAAGAAGTCAACTTGGTTGGGATCAAGAGGAGGTTCTTAAAAAAAAAAGAATTGACATTAATGAATTCCTACCATTCATGTGTCTATTATGATTGAAGCTGAGTATGAAATTATTCATCTGTCACTAATGACAGTGAGCAAATGAGAATTTTTTATTTGAAGTCTATGTTTTTCTTATGATAAAACTAAGACTCTTATGGTGTATTTTCTTTAACAAAAAAAGAAACAATATACATTCTTTGTCTTCAAAAGAAAAAAGAAAAAAAATTAAGCTCCACTATAACATGTATTTCATACTACATGTGCTAACGACCATTACAAGAATACAAAATGGATCCCTGCTTTTTTATTATGTGAGTCTTGAAGATCATGTCTAAGACTTCAAGATCTTACTCTTTGTAACTTTTGACTATATCATGAAGTGATATGTAAATGATCACTACTTTAGGAGTATATCTTATAGTCATGGAATGATTCAACTTAAAGGAACACTTGTTACTTGTATTCACCAATCGAGATCATATCACTCCAATATATTTGATATGATTTAGAATACTTGTAATTGCAAGGATGAATTGGATATGAAATTCTTAAGGGATTAAATTATATTCGATCATGTGTAACTATTGTATTAGGTTTATATATTATAGCTCTTTTCACTGTATGCTGTAGATCACACAGTCTGTTCATAAAGTATGAAATTCTTATGCAAGTTTAAAATATAAGGTATTAGATAGATTCAGTCCTTCATGGTCGAAGTAGAGATAGGTTTATATATTATGTTAGGCCCAGCCCGCCCATGTGAGATGAGCCTAGTCTAAATGTTTAGAGAAGTTACTAAAAGAAATAATCATTTTCTCTACTTACATATATAAGAACATAACCCATTAGAAGATGGAAGTTTACTTTAAACTAACATAGTTTTCTTTTTTTCTTCTCCTATCTTTGACTCTTAGAATTAACTTGATAAGATTTACAAAAATATTTCTACTATGGAATATCATTTTAGTTCTAGTACTTGAATTGGCACTGAAATAATTGATTTAGAAACAAGAAAATAAATTCTCATATTACCAGTAAATTTCTTTTAAATCTACAAATTTCATATTTGGAATTGATGTCATTGGAGAGGAAGTGAGAGGTTGATGAATCAAACATACGCCAAATGCTTTCAAGTTTTAAGGATCCCAAGGATCCCTTATGGCTTGCTTTTTTCCCAGAAGGAATAGATTTCATGTAATTTCTTCATCTCTCTCTTTCCTTTTTGAATGTTTTAACAAGAATTAATGTTCCCTATATTTCTATAATTATTAACACAATGCATTGAATTATTCAAGACTAGGTGTTAAAGAGATTACCTCTTTTGATTGTGTAACTAAAAAGAGATTTCCTCTTCGTAAACAAAATTGATCGAGTAACCGAAGATTAGTGTTGATCTCAATCAAGGCACTTAATCTATTGACACTTATCTCTGTTATGCTAAATCAATTATTGATGCTTTGTCTGTTATGCTAAATCAATTATTGATGCTTTGATTATATTAACAAGCATGTTCCTGACGAGGTCTAGGTCATTGCCACTCTTCATGGTCTTAGCCCTAATTACCTCATGCTCTATACCATCCTCACTTAAAAACCTCGCTTCATGATTTCACTGAACTTCAGGCTCAAATTCTCTCATTTAATGCCCAATAATCTTGTCCTATTGATTCTCCTATAGCTATCACCCTTTTCAATCATAGCTAAGCTCTTTTTACCTATCATGATCACTACCCTAATATCGGCCACTAATTTCCCAATAGTGGTCGTCTTAACAATGGCCACTTCGTGGTAACTATTCTTAGTAGTGCACCACTTCACAGTCACATATTGTGTCTTTTTTTCTTATGCAACAACAATATATGCTTCCATCGGGGCCTTTTACTTCATTAGTTTGGGTTATTTGTCCTTCACCAAATGGTGTTCTTAGCTTAGCACCCCAATGGTGTCTCAATTATCACTCAAGTCAACTTGGCCTCTTTTAATGTCCACTTTGATTTTCAGATCCAAGTACTGTCACTCTATTTGCTAGAGTATATTATTTTGCTAATCTAAATTGGTACCGAGACACAGGTGCAACTCATCACATGAAAACCATGCCCATCAATAGTTTTTAACTTTATGGTAGGCTGTATAATGGTTATATGGGTAATAAGGACTCAATGTTTGTTTCCCATATTAGTAACCTTCCCTTTTCATTAGACTTTTCCACCTTCACTCTATAAAATATCTTATGTATTCCATTCATTCATAAAAATCTTTGTACTTGTTGCTTGTTTCACTAAATATAATCATGTTTTCTTTCTCTTTACACCTGACTTTCATCAAATCTATTGCTTATGTAATGGATGTCTATTGTTTCATGGCCCTTATATAAATGGTCTATATTCGCTTAATCTATTAAGCTTCTACACAAGCCCTTGCTTTTATTCACTCCTCCATCTAGCACAATCATTTCAGTCACCCGTCATCAAATTTCTTCGCATGTCTAGGTCCTATAATTAATTCCACGTTGTCTTTTCCTTCTTTTTATTGAGACTGTGCACTTATCAAGTCTCACTAATTACTTTTTAATTCCAATAAAGAGACTACTACCACTCCTTTTCATATTATAAATAGTGATGTCTGGTCCTCTACTATTTTTGTAAGTAGTTTCAAATATTATGTTCTATTTATTGATGAATTCTCATGCTACACTTGGATTTACTCTATGCGTCGCAAAAATAAAGTCCTCACTCATTTTCAAACTTTAGTTGCCAAGATTAAAAATATCTTTCACCAAACCATTTAATTTCTTCAAAGTGACAATGAAACAAAATATATTAATATGCCTTTTCTCATTATTGTAAATCCTTGTGAAATTTATAAAGATTTTCTTGCCCCTACACACCATAACAAAATGGTCTTGCCGAACATAAGCACTGCCATATTGCCATAATGACTCACAATCTCCTTTTCACTTCTAGTGCTTCACATCATCTTTGGGTTAAAGCTATTTTAATCTCTGTTTATCCTATTATTCTTCTTCCCACATCCACTTTTCATTGGGATACTCTCCATACTCGTCTTTATGGCATCCCACCTTCCTATTCCTCTTTACGTGTTTTTAGATGTCCTTATTTTCCTTATCTTGGATCTTATATCTCTGATAAACTTTGAGTCATAGCATTAAGTATGTCTTTCTTGGTTACAGTTCTCAACACAATGGTTATCATTGTCTAGATCCTACCACTGATTGTTTCTATATTTCTAGGTATGTTATCTTTAATGAAACAATTTTTTCTTCTAAATAGTTGAAGGCACATTCAGTTTCCAACACTAGCCCATTAGAGTTCACACTTTTGTCCAGATCAGAACTCTTATAGCTTGCTTCTTCTGGCCCAAACCTACCTGTTAAGAATAATAACTCTTCTTATCTTGTGTCTCAACCAAAACAGCATGAAATGAGTATTGAATTCCTGATTATATAACTATTAGCTCCATCCCAATCTACAATGCCCACCACGCCCCATCCTCACTTATCAGCGCTAGCATTCATTATATCCAGATAATTCATAGATAGCATCCATCTCTTTTTAGCCATCTACCCCAGATGCAACTATTCCATAACTAGTCTCATGTGATTCATCTCCTATCCCTAATCCTTTATCGCTATCCACTTCTTCACCACCTGCTCCTTAGTCCCTTCCTGAACCGTCAAGAACATTACCTTCTCCACCCAAGAGGACACTACAACATGGTATTATGCAGCCTAAAATTCAAGATGGCACTGTCAAATATTTAATTCCTTGCTTTTCACAATGTCATTGAAACTACAGAGCCTATATATAACATTCAAGCTTTAAAACATACGATATGATATGCTGCAATGATTAATGAAACCAATGCTTTATTGAAAAATAAAACTTGGACATTGGTTCCTCCATCTTCATCTTAAAATCTTGTTAGCTGTAAAAGGGTATTTTGAGTAAAGTACAAATCAAATAGCACAATTAAACATCACAAAATGCGATTTGTGGCTAAAAGATTTCATCAATAACGAGGTATAGACTATACAAATACCTTTAACCCTGTTATTAAACTTGTAACTATTTATGTTGTGCTTTCTCTTGTTGTATCTAAAGGCTAGTCACTTCATTAATTGGATGTTAAGAACGTGTTCCTTCATGGCTTTCTTAAAAAAGACATATATATAACTTAACCATTAGGAATCATTGATCTGTCATGACCATCTCATTTTTGCAAGCTCAATAAAGCCATCTAAAGCCTCAAGTATGCTCCCCATGTGTGGTTTCACTGAATGACATGCTTCCTACTATCAATTGGCTTTATTTAGAGCTTGGCCGATTCATTTTTGTTTGCTTTCCAACACGGGTGTCATACAATTTATTTTTTTATCTACATTGATGACATTGTGATCACAGGCAATGATGATAGACTTTTACAAAATTTTATTAATGCTTTAAGCCGGGGTTTTGACATCAAAGATCTTGGCAATCTACACTACTTTCTCGGTTTGCAGGTTACATATCAAAATAAAGATGTTCATATTAGTCAACTTAAATATGTGTATGATCTTTTCATGAAGCATAATATAGTACTTAGTAAAACCTTTAGTACTTTGATGTCAGCAAAGGCTATTCTCACTTTTAATGATAGTGCTCTTCTTCCCAATCCATCAGTTTTTTAGGAAATTGTTGGATCCTTACAATACTTGACAATCACTCACCCTGATATTACCTTTACTGTCAATTTTATTTCTCAATTCATGAGTTAGCCACACATCCCTTACTTGATTGCTGTTAAATGCATCCTTCGCTACATTAAAGGCTCGCTTAACCATGGCTTGTTCTTTGGTCCTCAGTACAATCCTACTTATCGTGTTGCCTATATGAATGCTAATTGGACTGGCTGTTCAGACTCTCGTCATTCAACGTTTGGTTATCTTGTTTATCTTGGCACTAACTTAGTCTCTTGGTGCTCTACAAAGCAACCTACCATTGCTTATTCTAGTGTTGTGTCTGAGTATCGCTCTCTTTCCCATACTAGTGCAGAGTTTAATTGGTTAGCCTACTTGCTTTATAAACTTGGTGCTCGTATTCAGTTTCCCATTCTTTTGCATTATGATAACCTCAGTGCTATGTACATGACTTCTAATCCAGTATTCCATGCCCTTACTAAACATATTGAACTTGATTATCATTTTGTTTATGAAAAAGTTGCACTTGGAAGCCATTACTACTAAAAAATCAACGAAAACCAACGAAATTACCAATAAAATTTTTTCATCAGTAATTTTTACCGACGAACATACTTCCATCTCTATTTTTATTGGTATTATTGATAGAAAATATCAATTAGCAATATAGTCGGTACATACCAATATAATACATCCATCAATATATCTGATTGTATCACTAATGGATTATATAGTGTTTTGAAAAGTTGTAATGATGTGATGACGTGGATTTTTTCAGATGATTTTATCGATGAAATGACCGAGGGATTCAAACTGGGATCTACGTATATTGACATAACACAGTCACCAGCAAAATCACTAATGGAACGTATTCGTAGCTAATTTAATTGATAAAAGCCAATATATACCCACTATGCCGACACTTTATTCCTCTATTTCTCCTTCTTCCCCATTCTACCTCTCCCTTCCTAAACTGCAGCCAACCACCCATCCCAACTCTGCTCTTCTTCTCAACACAAACACTCAAGTTTCTTATACCTTTGCACGTGGTCAGAACATCCGTTCTTCAGTTAATTTATCGTGGACTTTATTATTTTTTATAAGTAAATCTATCCTTTTTAGTTTTAATATTTAAATGTCAATCTTATTTTTTTTTTGTCTTTTTGGTATATGTGTTTTGTTAACATATGTAATTGTTTGATTGTTATTTGTTAAAGAAACTTATAGTATGAATGTATAATTTAGTAGTTGTTATAATTTGTTTTAGATTTTGTTAAATTATATTTATTTGTAAATTTATGAAACTTTGCTTCAATTACACCGAATTAGATGTGTTGCGATGAAATAAATAATGACTTGTTTAACGAGTCCATTTTAATTTTTAAAAATTTAATTACGAAGTTGTGATTTTCATAAATTTATGTATATATAAATTTGTATGGACGTTGATAGTTGATAGTTGATAACAAATATTTAACATAAGTGTTGTTTTAGTTTGT